AATTTTTCTATGCAAAAATAATACATTAAACAACTTGATGCTTGGGGATTAAAAGGAATTTTTTTCCCATTTTGGTTTATAAAGGTGACCACTAAAACAATTAACTGCCAAGCAATAGATAATTAGGTGATGTTCACATAAAAACTCTTCTCTTTTTTTTAAACCAGCTTTCTCTTTGGGGGGTGGAAAAATATTTGTCTCTCATTGCCAAGGCATCCCACAATGCGCAGCACTGGTCACATCCTTATCTCCTAGGAACAACATGAGTTCTGGGCAGAGGGAAAGCAAATTTGTTGTTATTTCGTATGCTCATTTCATTCCCTCTGTAGGATTCCCTACAGAAACAACAATAATGACAACTTCACAAAGTTGTTCAATATCGTATTCAGTCAGCTCACCTGTCTCCAGAGACAAACTCCTAACCCCAGGAGATGTCATGAAGGTATATGCACGTATTTCATGGCTGCGCAGCACTGCAGGAGGACATGTGTGCAACCTGAACATCAGCAATGCAACCTATGGTCTCTTTACATTTGCTACTATGCACAGGTGCATAAATACAGCAGGAGATTTTTCTAGGTACTTGGCAATACACTTTGTGCATCTGAGTTTAGAAAGTGCCTGCAACATTTTCAAATGTTTAGTGGTAAGCTTGCTGTAGGGAACAGTCAACACACTAAAAGAGAACTAGAACTAGATTGAAATAATTATATATAAGTTCTCTAATTAGAGAATTTTTTTATTCTTCAATGCTTATTGTTATTTGCATGTGTGTAGCTGCATGGCTCCCAGGTTTCTATCAGCTTCTGCCAACAAAAAGCTCAGTGGTGGGGAAAAAATGGTTACATGTGAGACGTAAAACATCCCCAGTGTAAATGAAGATCAGGTTTTTATACTTTGTCACATATACATAAAATCCACACAGTCTGAACTACATTTACTATTTTATTCTGTCACGTGGCAGTTACTTTGCATTGCATGGCAGGGCCAAGTTGAGAGCAGGCATGGACAGAGAAACCAGAACACCATCCATGATGAATTGTCAAGAGTTCTGCTGCTTCTTCTTCCAAAAGAAGGAATAGTATCAAAGCGTCTGGCCACATCCCTTTCCACAATTTTATAATGTATTAGACATTATATATAACCTTCACCAAACCAATGCTTTGTCATCTGTTAATAATAGATCCTTTCAAGACCTTCCAACTGAAACTTTAAAAAATGAAGTTTAACATCAGACCATGCACAGCTTGCTGGTCTGTTGTATCCCCATTAGACTCACCAAGGTAGTGTTTGTACCTCCACAAGCTTCCCTTCTGGGATATTTCTCTAGTTGTAGATCTAGGCACAGCGTGCAGGGATCCACTTAATGTTGTTAGTACTGGCTCCAGGCTACAGCAAAAAGAGTTGAAATTGCCTGGAAAAAATGGCCTCTTGGGTGTGCACAGATACGCTCTGTGAGACTTTTGCACATTTTTAGTACGGTGCTAAATAGAAGTGCTCATCAAATACCAAAAAAATTATGTACCTGGAAGCAGATCTCAGGGTCATACATTGCTGTTGTTCATTCCAGGTATATTTTATTACAGTGAGGCAACAAGTAACCGAAGTGGTTTAGATCGAAAGAGATTTGCAACACTGGACCTTGGAAGTCAGAGATGGAGAAGGTCATGAAGACCACCCCTTTGTCAACACATGAGCAATGCCGCTGGACTGGGCTGAAAAGTTATGAGGAAAACCCAAGTCATTTTTCTGAGGCAGCTGAGGCCACGTGGCTGTCCTCATCAGAGCACTCTATTTCATTAAGTTTGCATATTTTCTACGCTGCATAGCAGCTCTCCATTGCCCCATGTTTCACATGTATCTAAAATACCTACAGTCTATAAAAGTATAATTCTCACTGTGTGCATCTAGAGGAGCCACACAATCAATGTGAAAATATATCGTTTCAGGAATTCGAAACCCAGGGGATAAAGCTGTGTGTGCTGAAAAGAGGCAACAGTATCTATCGTTGTGCCAGGAAGGTTTTTGGTGATTGGTGAGATAAAATAAGGACGGAGAAGACAGGAAGGGAAAGTTCCCTATCCTGTGTGCATTTATAGAAGCACACAACTCTGTGTTGTAATCAGCTGTGTGGCAAAGGAAGATTTCAGCAAAGGTGATGGAAACTAGATGACCCCTGGGGGCTAGCGAACTGGACTTTCACTCCACTTGTACAATATTTTTAGCTGAATTTGTGCACTCAAACTGGTCTCTGTATTTTCTCGCCTGACTAAGCCACTGCATGTTGTACTGTCGGTCAGCAGCCTGGGGATGGTCAAGCCTGCTTCAGAGCAAGGACTAAATGGCAGCTCAGAAGTTGTGAAGATTGAAAAAGCCTGGCATGATAAGCACCTTGAGCAATGACTAGCACGAACCAGAGCCAAACCAGTTTCTGGATTCCCAGAACATGAAGTTCAAAAGGAAAAGTTTATAATGAATTTCATTATAGTTTGACTGAAGGTAAATACTTGATTAAAGAAGACATTATGGGCTGCAAGCTCTGTAATTTTCTTCACACAGAGTAATCATTCCAGCTTCCTACTACACTAGTACATACTAATTTTCAGTTTTATAGCTTTCGGTGAATTCTTAAATATCATTTGCTTTTTCCTCACACGCACTATTTATTTTTATTCATACAGACATCCAACAAAAACTGAAGAAACGCTGCATTATATTGTAACAGCAGTCAGACATAAACCCAGAGAGACAAAATGTATTCCAGTAATTTAGCTTCCGTGACAAAGTGGTAAGTAGGGAAGAAATATGACCCCATGGTTAAGATAGCAGCCTAGACTTGGAAAAATAGATTTGAGACTCTCTTTTACCACTGTTTTCCTATTTTACTTTGGGCAAGTCACTTAATTCCTGACCCTTAAACAACTTGATGTAATTCATTATCACTTATTCTGTGTAAAGAAAGGCACACAAATGCGCTTGCAGGACCAGGCTCCCTATTCCTCAGCTCTCCTCCTATAAAAGGTGCGTAACAGCCCATTCTTACCTCCACGTCGTGGTGTTCTTCTTCACAGAGAAGCAGAAGGGAACAAGGAGAAATGAAATTTTCCATTTACCCCGACAACAAGCAGGGCAAACTCTTCCCACAACTCTCTCTCGCCCACGTGCTGCGGGAGGCTGTGTCACCCCCCCGTGCTTCACAAGCCTGTGCCTTTCTGGTCATGCCAAGATTGCTAGCAAAGATGGGAGCTAATGCTGATACGGGTATCTGTGCTCTGACAATCGCACTGAAACTGTCGTTTGTTTTACAGAGAACATCAAATGGGCATTGAATGCTGATGAAGTGTTTTTTTATTACCAATCTGTGCTTCTGGGTAGGGAATTATAAATGCTAAAATATCTAAGTACTCCAGAGCAAATTTCAACAGTTTTTGCCTTAAGGACCATCTCACAGATGATGTAAGATAATATCGCTTCAAAATTTCTTTTTTTATCTTCACAAGTATAGGATGTGACCTAAAAATTTCATATGGGGTTATTTATACTAGCTACAAGAGATTGTTTTTATCAAAATGTGCTTGTATATTTCTCTGAAAGATTATCTCACATTCTGCTGGTAAAACCACCAAAACATAGTTATTACACAGCATCAAAATTACTATCGACAGCACCTCCTCAGGCGTGCCTAGTCAGGACACATGGAGATAGGAACTGCCTGACAGCCACTTAAAGGGTACCAGTTTTGGAAAACATTTTATAGAATCATAGAATCATAGAATCATTATGGTTGGAAGACACCTCAAAGATCATCAAGTCCAACCGTAATTTTAGCAACAAGGCAGGGGAGAAATCAGAAAATACAGGACATCTTTCCTGTTTGCCTTTAAAATTCAGTAGTAGTGTGCTGTAAAAAGAGCTCAGTACTTCAGAGCTCTGGATTTAAAAGTGAAAAAAACCCCAGGTGTCCATGCTGATGCTCAAGGCGGATTGGTCTAGAGAGGTAAAATCAACTTCTAAATTCCCAGACATATCTGCTGTTCAAAACCACCTCCAGAAAGCTTTGCTGCCCATCAACTGGCATGCTCCAGAGCTTGTGCTAGCCAGGGTCTGGCCATCCACCACCCTCTCCTGCTCTCCCCCGTCCCTTCTCGGGCTCTGCAGACCCAGCTGGCCCCATCGCTATTGTTCACGAAGAAGTCAATCCTTGCCAACTCTTGGCTGTTCACTCCAGCCTCCCATTTCAGTGTCTTATCCCCAGAACTGACATTTCTTGGCAGCTCCCTGCTGTCCCCTGCAGTGCCACTGAATATTCCTAAGAACATGGGAACACGAGATTTAAGTTGGAGGCGGCCTCGTAAGGCTCTGGATCGCATTCTGTGCTACTGCAAATAAACATTTCCTATGGTTCTGAGGCAGGTGACCTGCAAGGGTAAAGTCATGTTAGTAGGAACACACCAATGTGCATCAGCTGCGGATGTGCCTTTAAGAAGTAGAGAAAATTGAGATTTAAGATCAAAATAGCAAGTCCGTGGTACTTTCATGTACTTAAAATCAATAAAAAGAAACATACAGCTGGAAGGAAAGCTAGCTTGATACAATCACGGTCAATTAGAAGTCCTTTAAGGCAATGGATGGTGTATTTTCTTCCTCAGAATTAGACATTTCAAATATTGACAGACCTAGTAAGGCACAATCAATATATCAATTCCTTTGTGAACTATTAATTATATATGTTGCTGATGAATAATCATTTAATTAGCATAAGGGGAGGCTTCAGTGAAAAGGCTGTCTACCAAGCCTTCTGGACCTAAAAATAGCAATAGCTTTTCAACCATGAGGCTTTGCATGAAAATGCTATTGCTCAACTTCTGGTCTTAAGACTTGTTACATCGCTCAGCCAATACAGAGCTTTGCTAATAAAGTTTTTCCCCCTTCTCACAGCAGTGCTGCCATATGTAGTTTGTTCCTCTAAGGCATGGTGACAAGGGTTTGGTATGGATTACCTGGATCAGTTCATCAAGCTCTGTTGCATTCACACAGGAATGCTGAGATACAAACGTCTGCTTCTGAATCACAATGGTGGTTCTCTGGGAGGTCTCATGAGGCTGCTCCAGGGCTTTAAATACTGTTGCTCCAATGATTAAATACACGACTACCACCAGAAAAATTGTTGAGACTGTCTTCCATTTCATAACATTAATAGCTGAATCACTTTCCTCCCGTGAAGAGAGCACGGTAGGCTTGGTGGAAAATGATAATCTTGGTTTGGAGTTCTGAGTGGCCGATTTGGGATCCAGCAAGTCAGGTGCCGCCACTGGCAAAACAGAAAAAGAAAGTTAATTTTTACAGTGCCACTGAGATTTCATTAACTGAACTTCTTGCCAAGAAATTACAGAAATTCTGTTGCTTCTAACTGGAATTCTTAAACTGTTGTATCCTTCCCTTGAATACCATGCCACCTTACAACAAATCTGCTGCTCTAAGTGGTATTTTCCATTTTACACGCATATGCACATTTGCAACATTTTCTATATGCGTCTGTCCCCTTATGATCTTCAATCATTTCCAAAATGCAGATTTCCCCTACACTATTGCATTTTATTAAATTAGTATATGGTGGTGTTTTGCTGCAGAGATCCTTTACATCCGCTGTTCTCTTAAGCACTGCTAAGCAGCTTTCTAGCTGTGTTTTACCTCAGCATTACAGAAGTAGCAGAAAAATACAAATCCTTCTTTCTTTCACCTATTTTGTCCTGTGCTCCGACAAATGCTCTCTGAGAACAGTTGCATCATTACTTCCGGACTCCCCAGATATAACCATAAAAACAATACATCGCTCATCATACCGGTCTTAAAGTGTTAATTGCATATCGATTACGCCTTTCAGAAAATACCAGTAAAACATATGTGTACTTACTGGAAAACTGACCCATTTGTTAGAGTGTGTATTTTTATTTACAGCTACAAAACCCCACTGGGTTAGGCAAAGAGCAGCTGAGTGTGTTATCAAGTATCCCAATAACTCATGTGACTACCAGCAACTATATGGGCACTAAAAAAAAAATCTACCACATCAAGTGCAGGTAAAGGTCTGCTGTGGGAAGATGGCCACAGCAGTTGACCACACAAGCTATATTTAAATTGTTTTGAATTACAAGTACATTTTGAACGGCCACGACACCGCTTCCAGCTGCCGGTGGGAAAAGCCCAGATCTAAATCCAGAGGAAAGTCTCCCTCAGGACGGCGGAGGTGGGAGCCGTCCCTCGCAGGGGTGGCGGTGGCACTTGGCAGGGTCACCTCCCGGGCCCCGGCCGGGCTCAGGCACACACCTGAAGCCCCGGGCACCGGGAGAAGGGGCTCGGCGGGAGAGGGGCAGCCCCCAGCCCGGGCC